TTGCTCTGCTGAAGTTTAGAACTTTTATTATCTGCTTTAATTTGACCTAAAATGGACCTGAAAACCTATTTACTTAAAAACCTGGTATTAGTTCAAAATCACTTCATGAAGCTCTAATTAAATTATTTTGTGATTAATTTTTGTTGTTTTAAGTGACAGAAACAATACAATATAAGCAAGAACATAACACAGAAAAACCTTGAAAATTTAAATCAGTGAGTGAAGGATAATAGTGAATTTAACCTTTTAAATCATATTTCAGTAATGCTGTACGTCCATCCATTTTCTAACTGCTTCATCTAGTTCAGGATCATGGGGGTGTCAGAGTCTTGGCAAGGAATGAAATGAAAAGCAGGACACACAGACATGCACACACTCACACTAGGGCCAAGTTTCCCAAAGCCAATTAACCCACCAGCATGTTTTTGGACTGTGGGAGGAAATGAGAGCACCCGAAGGAAACCCAGAAGAACATGGGCTTAAGGAAACTCTACACAGTTAGAACCCCGGGTCCAGAACTGAACCCAGAGTCCCATTGCTGTGAGACAGCAATGCTAACCCCTGCATTACCATTCCACCCTTCATTTATACAACAGAATGAACTACAAGTTCTCTAAATTCTGTGAATAAAATGAATTATATAACTTATAAATTGAAAACCACTAAAATGAATTGAGAGCAATTGAGAGCAGAAGCCAGCAGACACAGGGGTCCTCCAGCAGTTAGGTAATAAATACTCAGGTATAGAGAAAGTGATATCAGCAGGTGACCATTTGGATAAAGCAACACTCCCAAGCAGGTGATGGAAAGCTCTCAGCTCCAAACTGGAACAGTAAAAGAGACATCGTTTACAAATGGACATTTAACACTACTCATGCTATTACTTCCAATTCTAATAGTTGTCTGGTGATTTTAAAGTACAGTGTGATCTCAGTTTGTTTCAGGAAGACTATAAAGATGTTTTCCTTGACCTTTGTAGTGAATGGAAAGGTTTACGGAGTTTTGCAGCACTCAGATCTACACAAAAGTATAGCAGAACAAAGATGATTCAATGTGCCACCATAACAGTACTGTCAAATGGTTACATGAGTTCTCTTATCCCTTCAATTTATGCGTGTCTTGACAGAGGCCGATCTTGCTTTTGCGTGTTCAGTATATTACAGTGTTTTATCGACCTTATGAATTGATCAGCCAGATGTCATCTACAGTATGTGCTATATAATTAAAACAATATAATTTAACAGAAAATACAGACATAAACTGGAAACGTGACCTGCCATTCGCTTTAAATACTAATGTGTTTGTACAGCAGTATACTAAAGTGCAGTGACTAATACTTCTTACATGTTCTACTTGTCTTCAAAGACATCAACTCTTGCTAAAGGCTCAAATTAATTGGCAAGTTAAAAATATCCTGTTCCTGAGATCTGTCCCCTGACTTTCCAGCCCAAATCAGTAATTTGCAAAAGGGCTACTTAAAAACATCTCATGTCTTCAACCTTCTCCTGTCTCTCCAAAAACAATCTTAGATATGCAAGCAACTCAGCAACAAGGCTGAAAATAACTGCAGTTAATAAACCCTGAGAAATGCACATACTGTACTATAAGAGGAAACTGCTGTGAAAATACACAGCTGAAATGCAAGTTATAATAAATTAATATGAATTTTATCTATACAAGAGTTTTATGACTGAAATACACTTATGTGTGGATTAAGGTATTTGAGTTAAGGTTTCAGATAAATATTTGCAAGAAAATTACATTGAGATTATAACCAGGAAAAGACTGAGCTCAGTGAGCCTCATGTAAAAGTTTGAGAGTTGTGATAATGTGACTGCATCATTTTTAGCTGGCTTGTATTGTAGTTACAGGGTGTAGTATCCCTTTGCAGAGAACTTTAAAATAATGGTAACCACAAAGACACCAATTGATTCTGCTATTACCTGGGTGTATGCTTTATGATGATATTTGCTTCATATTGTGTAAATCTGTGGTCTATAACCTAAATATAATTATGGGTATAAAAATGAAATAGGAAAAAATATCTACTGTATATGATAAAGCAAAACAGTTAAAGCTACAGTAAACACTTACTAATTGGAAATGCCTTTACATGTATTAGCTAAACACATACTGATACTAATACTGAGCCACGACAATCAGGAAATTCACTTCCTAATGAGACTGCTGAAAAGAAGCAAATGGAAGAAATGTAATGTACTGTAGGAAGAGAAACTCCTCAATAATGTGAGAAATGAAAAACCATGAGGTTTAGTAGGTTCACAAAGCTGTTGAAATATCCACTTAGGAATGTTTGAACTAATTATTTTAAGTATAGAGTGAAGAAGGAAAGGTTTGTAAATCAGTTGTATAGTAGTTTAAATCTGTTGGGCCCCACATACAGTATATACAGTGCCTTGCGAAAGTATTCGGCCCTCTTGAACTTTTCAACCTTTTGCCACATTTCAGGCCTCAAACATAAAGATATAAATTTTTTATTTTTTGTGAAGAATCACCAACAAGTGGGACACAATTGTGAAGTGGAACGAAATCTATTGGATTTTTGAAACTTTTTTAACTAATAAAAAAATGAAAAGTGGG